TGAACCTCACTTTCTTCAGAGGTTTGGTGAATATGTCAGCTAGTTGCACTTCTGTCTTGCAATGTTTTATTTCAAGCTTCCCTTTGTTGACTTGATCCCTCAGAAAATGATACCTTCTTTCAATGTACTTACTTTGACCATGATACACTTGGTGATTCTCAAGGTTTATAGCTGACTTGTTATCAACAAGCAGCTTCATCTTTGATTTCATTATTCTGAGTTTTTCAAGTAGCATTTTAATCCATGTTGTTTGGCATACAACATATGATGCGACCACATATTCTGCTTCACATGATGACAAAGCCACAATGCTTTGCTTTCTCGAACTCTAGGAGATTGGAGCTCCTTCGATTATGAAAATGTATCATGCAATACTCTTCTTTTCGTCTTGATCTCAACTGAAATCTGAGTAAGTGTATCCATGAACTTCGACATCTGAGATATTCTTCAATTTCTTTGGTAACACCACACTGTGATACGGTGGGAGAACTGACTTGAGTTTTCGCGTTTGTATTTGCAAATGTTTCGGTTTAGCGAGAGTCGCCACCGAATTTTTATTTTATCCTAAGGAAAGGTTTAAAAAAGCACAGGAAAAACCTTTGAGACGTTTTCTTGGGTTCGAGGAGTAGATTATAGAAAGGGAATGTATTAGCACCCTTTCTATCCATGGTTATCCATGGGCTCTTAGTTACTTTCTTAGATCACTTGCTTTGCATTTTCAATTGTTTGAAATGGTGCTTCGGGTGTGGTTTTGAAAGATGTTTTGAAAAAGAGGTCATCGTTGTGGCGACCTTTGTAATGATTCTTGTTTGAATGTATACAAAGGTGTTTGTCTTTTTGAAAGGTTTTCAATATTTTGAAAGTTGTTTTGAAATTGTGTTGTGGAGTGTGTTTTGAAAAATAGCAAGGATGTTTTGCAAGATTTTGATCAAGTAACTAAGAGTTGTCTACCCTATTTTACTCAAAGATCTTTCTTATGTTTTTAACCCTTTTAACAGTGTTGTTTCACCATTGCATTTGGTGAACAACCTTGTGTTAGGATGTAAACGGGACGGGCGCGGGTCATCGTATAGACCATGATAGCAATGTTGCAAAGTATCTTAGTATTTCTTTTGAGGGACTAAGATCATTTTTGTAAGGCAACTTTGGATAGCGTCATCGAGGGACTATGATCTTTTGATTTTGTTTGTTTACCAAGATACTTTGCATGCGTAACATGGCCCATTTTTTTGAAGGCAACAAGTGGATGTAACCCTAGGGGTGTTAGTGTGCAAGTGTGTTTTATTGCATACAAGAGTTTATCTTTGAATTAGGATTTTCTATTTCATTGATTTTATCTTACCATACACATCCTAATTACTAGCAATAAAAAGAGGAAATATAAAATCCTACGCTATTACAACAATTAGGGAGTGGGGATACACATTTGTACATGGGGTGGTTCAACGAGAAAAATAGACAAAAAAGAAAATAGCAAAAAACAAGATAGAGAGAAAAAGAGAGGGAGCCAGCGCGCTGCTGAGAGGTCATCAGAAGTTCTGACTCAGGCCCGCTGCCAGATGATCAACCTTTTGGTTAAACTGTATGAGTCAGAACTTCAGACTCTGGCACCTGCAAAACAGAAACCTGTTAGTGGGAAGATCAGAAGTTCTGACCCCCCTGCGCTGCAAGACAAAAGTTTGTTAGTGGGGAAATCAGAAGTTCTGATCCTGCTGGAAATATAATAACTCTCAGAGGTTCTGATATTATTGACAGCAAAACAGGCTTCAGATGTTCTAACGTCAAAGTCAACACTTGACTTCTCCCTGTGCTAATCAGAACATCTGCATTTTTGTTATTATTCCACAAAAACAGAAAACATGTTTGGAATAGCTCCAGCAAATGTCAAAGTGTTTCAGAGGACAGAACCAACAAGGTCACAGGCAGGTTCTACGCTGGCTCAAAATGTTCTGAGGTATGAAAAATCCTCAGAACACAAATAGAAACAACATGATATTTACATTATGTTTATTTGAGCATGCAAAGCTGATGATGCTTAGCAGCGTGATGAAGGTCAGCAGGTGCTTACCTGGCTGTTGGAAAAGTTTGTGGATGAGAGCTAGCTTTTGGATCTGATGGTGTTCTGGACAGGTTCTTTTTGAAAAGGGTAGATGAAGGTTGTTGTACCCCAAAATTTGCCCTCCCTTTTTCTCAACATTTCCCATCACAAAGCTCTTGAAGCTCAAGATCCAGTTAGGGTTTCATCTGCTCAAGACTCCTCCTTGCACTGCTAACCCAAATTAGGGTTTGTGTTTGCACAAAGATGTTTTGACCTAAAGTGCCCAAGATGACTTTCTTGCTTCATATTGGCCTCCCAAGTTTATCCATACCAAGTTTCAAGTCTTGATTCCAAGTTTTGCCCAATCAATTGGACAGTTGACCTAGAAATCAACTGTATTGGGGAAAAAGTCAACTGTGGCCAATTGACAGTCCAATCTCATGAAATTTGATCCACATCAACATTATGAACTCCTAGGAATCATTTGATCAAGTTTGGACCACAATTCCATAAGAAATTTGATCAGATCACCAAAAGGGCAAAATGGTCATTTTTAGGGTTTTGACTGCACAAAGGCAATTTTTGACTGTTTGACCTAGCCAATGGCAAACCAAGCTCACATATGGACTCAAGGACCCCATGGAATCATCTTGACATGCTCAACAAACTCAAAAGATCCCAAATACACAAGATTGACAGTTGAATTTCTCAGTCAATTGATCAATTTTGACTGTATACTGAAAAGTCAAACTTTGACTTTTTGGTCAAAATCAAGAGTCAAGATTCATTTTTCATCAAAATATGCCAAATCATGAAACTTGTTCACCAATAAATCACAAATTGCAAATTAGGGTTAGAAAATGGAATTTTTCATAACTTAGAATTTTTCTAAGTTATGAAAAACCCTAATTTTTTCCCAACTTTGCCCCATCTTTTCACCAAGATCCATTTGGATTCAAACAAAAGTTCAAACATGAAAGTTGTATCTTGTTGCATAATCTACAACTTTGATTCACAAAGTTTTCTCATTTAAGGCTTGTATCTCAAGTTACAATTTTTTGAATAAGGGCACTAAACCATTTTTAACTTAGTGAAATTTTAACCTATTTTGACAAGGTTTTCTACCCCACTTCAAGGCCATTTTTCATACCCTTCCACTTGGAATTTCAATTTTCATTTCAAAGATGGATTGTAGTACACATTCCAAGCTTTCCAAAATGTCCAAGAACTTCTCAAACAACCTCATGGTTAGAGAGAATCGAATTTCACAATATAGCAAAAAACCACTTTGTTCATGACCAAGTTCCATGTCCATAACTTTGCAAATTTGAACTCAACATGCTTTAGGCTAGATTACAGGTCCTTAAACCAAGTTACACTCCATAATTTAATGCTTGTTCATTGTTCCAAAGTGTTGTTCCATGAGTTCAAGCATTGTACACAAGATTGATCCATTTTTAGATAAAGTGAACTTTCCATTTTTGCAAAAGCTTGCTTTATGTCAATTGATAAATCAAAGAAGTACATTGCAAATCTGAATGGCACAAGTTTATGAACATAACACTATTATCAATGAGGGATTATGCAGCACATTAGGAGGCCCCCTACATGCCTAGAAAGCCAAGTTGCATTTTGTTGCTTAAGTGTGAAGAAAGTCCCATAACTTGTGATAACTTTCATCTCAGCATTAGCACACAAGAACAAACTGATCAAACACCTTCCAAAGAACATAACCAAGCTGAGACACGACCCTTGCACCTCCAAAACACCCTCCATCTCAGAATCATCCTCAAACTGCAAAAACAGAGTTGCCTCTGCAGTTTGAGTGCCAACTCCCATTTCCCTCGAGCATTCTTACCAAAATCAACTCATACACATTCCCTAGCATGTATGCAAGCTAACCATGACCTAAAACCTGACCAGTAATCCCTCTAACAGCTTCCACCATTTTCATTTTTTTCCTTTTGCAGTTGAAGTTCCACAGCTCGATACAAGAAGTTTCAAGACAAAGTAAACATTGGAATAGTATCCCTGGACCTCAAGGAAGCTTTTCCAATCATCACCTTGCACTGAAAGTTCCTCATTCTCCAGATAGAAGTTCAACTGAATAGGTAAAATTTTGAACTCGTATCTCTCTTATTATGCATCTTTAGTCTTAAGTTTGTGAAGAAACAAGGTTCTACTCATAGCCCTGAGCATGTACATATCTTTACATTTCATTTCTTTTGCCTGAGTTGAGAGAATTTAAGCTTTGAAAATGGCAGAAAGTTTAGGTCAAGATTTGGGATTGATAAAATTCTCTCTCATTTCTGAGAGTTAGGATGAGTTTTCTATATATTTGGAATCGTGATTCAATGCTTGACATGTTTTGTGTTGAAAGTTTGTGCAAAATCTCAAAGAATCAGGATGTTTGAATCTCTGTAACAAGGCGCGCGTTTTGGCCAAAGGTTGAAGAAGAAGTGGATTGGGCTGGGCCTGTATTATTTTGCTATCCACACCATTTTTTCTGTTTCACACCCCTGAGCCCATTTGCTTCATTTTTTAACATTTTTGACCTTTTCCTTTTTTATTTGACTCATTTATTTTTTCTCAACATATTAAAATTTTGAAAATA